TCTCAGTCCACTTCTTGTGGTTGTAAATTTCTGAGATGATCCTTGTTTCTAATGACTTTGACAATATCAAAGAGTACTAATCAGGTACTCATAGGAAATCCTTCTATTAAGTTTCACCTAATGTAATTTTTCTTAGAATAGAATTATATGTTTTGGGGAGGAAGATCATAGATGATAAAGTGGCATTTTGATTGCATCAAGTGTACATAAAATCAGCATGATTTATCTACTGCTTATATTGACTTTAATTCATTGTCTGAGGTAGTCTTTTTAAGGCTTTTACACTTTAAAGTTATTGTTTTTTGAATTCACATTTCGATCTTGTAGTTTTTGAAGCAAAGTTTTTAAAGGCAGCCCACACTCCTTCTTGAGTATGAAGTAGCTATATAATTTAGTAAATTATTTAGAATTCTTCTACATGATAGATTGGTTTATTCTTCCTATTTATTCATTTATTCAATTTATTTATATCAGTGTGGATTTATTATTATTTTATTATAATTTAGGTCATAATCTAATGTTCCTATATTTTATTGCTCAAGTTGTTCCAATTTGATCATTGTAAGCTTCCTCTCCTTTCTGATATGCCCGGCATTGTAGTGTGTGTGTGTGGAGCACTTACTTTATGGCATTAAAATTTGCTCCAGGCTCATCTTGGATATTTCCTGAACTGGGCCATAGGTATGCTCGTTGCTACCTGTATGTCTTTCTCTTTGGTTCTCCCAGCTGACTGAGGAAGGAATTTTATGTGTATCCTAACTTGTGTATATGTTAACCTATGTATATGAATGTAGCAATAACTATTTCTGTATTTAACCATTTGTGTCTAAATTAAGCTACTTTTAATTTGTTAATGATATCTGCCCCTTTAATTTGTTACCCTCTGAATCTTTCCAACCTCTTCTAGATTATCAGTAAATTTCCTGTCCAACAGTGAAAAACCTTCTTTCAACCATCTGTTACCCATTTATTTAATTGGTACTTTTTCAGTACAAAGCCCTGTAGGATTTCGTAATTTTTACCCCTGTGAGGAAAACTTTATCAACTGTAGTAAAGAGTTTATGGACAGTCCTTTCCCTTTGAGTTCTAATACTCGACTTATTTCCAAAGCCACTCAGGTCAGTGCCTTTTCCCACCATCCCCTTCAGTGAGGGTATCTCATTCATCTGATATACAATTAGACTTTTTTTGTTATAGTCTGCATCCCTCTGGGAATCCTCCAACATCTTAAATAATTGCATTTCATTTCAGGTCTACTCTATGGTTCAAGTTTTGTGTTTTTTATTCATTTATTTATTTTAATCCTTACCCAAGGATGTTTTTTCATTTGTCTCAGAATAGAGTGGGAAGGAGGGAGAGAGAGAGAGAAACATCATTGTGAAAGAGATACATCGACTGGCTGCTGCCCGCATAACCCCGACCAGGGCCTGGGACAAATGACAACCAAGGTACATACCCTTGCCAGGAATCGAACCTGCAACTCATTGGTCCACAACCACTCTAACCACTGAGCTAAACCAGCCAGGGCTAAAGTTTTGTGTTTTCTAAAAAAGCATAGCCACAACTCTGAGTGATGTTGCTCAGTGGTTGGTGCATTGGCCCGAGTTCTATTCTTGTCAAGGGCAAGTACCTGGGTTGCATATTCAATCGATGTGTCTCTTTCACTATGATTGTCCCTCTATCTCTCTGTGCCTCCCTCCTTTCCCCTCTGTCTAAAAAAAAATAGAAAAAATGGTCTCAGTGAGGATTAACAAAAATAATGCACAGTCATGTATTCACTATCACAGTATTATACAAAAGAGTTTTATCAACTTAAAAATCTTATGAATTTTACCTATTCATACATAGCTAAGTGGTTTGTGAGGGGACAGAGTAAACATGTTAAGGTTTTTTGATCATGTGATCATTGTACTAATTGCCACTTCAGCAGGTCTTTGACTGTGTCCTTTCATTCAATGTCTTTTTTCTATAACATTGATGAGATGTCACTAGAACTTAACTCTTATTTACATCAATTAGCCTAAGGTCAAAGTTTGTTTCAATAAAAGGTGTTTCAGTTAAAGTTTCAGAACCTATTGATAATGTTAAATGAGGACTTATTGTATAGGACAAAAGCTTCCCTAGACAATACAAAAATCAATGGATATGATGGCACTCCAATCAGATTTTATTCACACAAAGAAGCAGCAATATGGATTTGGCCTATGTGCTATAAGTTGTCCCATGGACTGAACATATTCATATTCTGTGTGATTGACCTAGAGTAACATTAGACTCTCTAGGTGCAAAATACAGTGTAGCCATTTAAAAAAATAATCATGTTTGTTTTTTAAATATGTTTTTATTAATTTTTTAGAGAGAGCAATAGATAGAAACATGGATAAGAGAGAACATCGATCAGCTGCCTCCTGCATGCCCCTTTTTGGGGATCATGCCCACAACCTAGGTATGTGCCCTGACCAGGATTTGAATGGAGACCTCTCAGTCCATGAGCCGACTGAGGCACACTGGCCAGGCAGATATTCAGGTTTTGAACTTGATTTATTACCTAAAGCCAAAGTTACTCATTATACACATGATTGTATGGATATTTTTATCAATACCATCACACCATCTTTTATTCCCCAAGATAATCAATCATCTTCAGTGTAAAAAAACACATTTTTTTTTTATTTAATGTCCCTGATGCTTTTCTAATTATATGTTTTTTCTGAAATTTTATTCTTCTTTGATTTTTCAGATAAAATCAGTGACTTCTGGATGTGTTTTCAATTTCATACTATGTCTATTTACTTCTATTATGATGTTACCTCTACTTGGAAACTCTTGCCCTGTTACCTGATAATCTTATCGTTCTTTAAGATTCAACTCAGCTTTTTCTTGAAATGTACTTAAACATATTTTAACTATTTTGTTTTTCCTCAGACAGTATTATTTTGGTGTTCCATAATCATCTACACAATTTTAAAACAATATTATATTAAATTTATCTTTTTCTATATCATCTGGAATAGATGCTGGATTATTTTTCTTTTTATTTAATTAATTCATTTACCTTTCTTCTCCACTGTGTTTCTCATATATTTTTGGCATATACCTGACATTTAATAAATACTTTATGAGACTAACTATTTCTCTCTTACTGATTTTAGTGACTTGGTGAGATAAGAAATTTTATAGGTTGATTTGGGTGAGTGAATATGTGGAAGTTGCTCACTTTTGGACACGTTAAATAAAGAAATAAATATGTAGTTAGGCGCTCTATTTAGGCATTTGGAAAAATACTTTTGCTAATTGATCTTCACATCCCAATGCCTGTCATGGCACTGCCGCTGGTACATGTGGAAGACGACTTTGATGACCATTGTGATCATTGTGTTTCCTTCATCATCTCATTTAATCCTCACTCTGACACTGTAAAGAAAAAAAAAACTGTTTTCTACATTTAATTGATGATAAAACTCACAACCGACAAACTTAAAAATAAATTCACCCAGCTATTAGAGTTGGAAGCAGTATTTGAAGTTGACTATCTCCCTATAACTTTAGCTCTAACATATCTGATAAAGCCTCTCTCAAGATATACTCATTGACTAAATGAAGGAATTGCATTATTGTAAGGGATCACAACTATTTGCGATATAAGACATAAAAGTTAAGATGATACATATATAGTAATCAACAAACAATAATATCTATGGCAAAAAACAAACAAACCACAAAACATAAAAAGCCACAAGTTTTAGGAATTAATTTATTTGAAAACACACAAACGCTCATTAAATATTTGAAAAATATATATCAACCTCAGTCAAAAATTATAAATTTCCAGCTCAGTGAACTCTCATCCAATGAAATGAGCTAAAAGTAAAAGATGTGTTGTACAGAGTATTGGCAGATACCCAAAGTAATTTCCCTTGTGTTCCATGGAAAATAAAATTAATATTATTAATTAGGGAAAGAATAATTTTCAATTGCAGCACTTAATGAATGTGTCCAAAATTTATATTTTTCAAAATTAAAAAAAAATAATGGAAGGGGAACTCTGTCAGTAATCAGAATTCTGTGACTCTAAAAATTTTACTCAAATTTGAAAATCATAAGTATAATAATAAAATGCCCTGATTGGACATTTATCTAGCAAAATAGAAGCAATCTCTGAAATTTATACTAGAATTAATCAGGTATAAGAGGTTTAAGGGAGCCTCAAGAAAATCTACCAGAATATCAAAAAAAGATTAGATGCATGGGATTAAAATATAAAATATTTTAAAAATAGGCTTCCATAGTTTTAAAGAGACTCATATGTGTAAGACTTCCATTGTGGTAGATAATATCACATGATAAAAAGCATGTATTCTGAAGCTAGAGTCCCAGGGTTCAAATTCTACACTGCTACTTCCTAGTGCAACTTACATAACCTCTCTGTCTCAGTTTACTAATTGATATAGGCGAGTAATAGACACCTATCCCATTGTATAGTTTTGTAGCGTAAAGGAGTAAATACATGTAAACTATTCAATAAACAGACCAATACACATTAATAATTATTTGAAAGTTAAGTCATTATTACTACATAAATAAGAGAAAAAATAGAATATAAAAATTTTTACTTGAGAATTTTTAAACAAAGCATGCAACAAATAAAAATAGAAAAGAAACCTGTTTATGTAGGTTGCATTGTCTGATGTATTGAGAAGTTTTAAACTGTGAAAATAATTAGCCTAGTCATTCCACATTTTTGGGTATTAAAATATTATCAATACATATAGAATATGAAATAACGTCAATAATAAATAACAATTGTTGATAATGGTTATTGAAAGCTTCCAATGAAGAGTCATTCCTTTATCTCTAAATGAAAGAAAAAATACATGCACAGCATTAACTATCTGCTAAAAGGCATAGCTGACTCAAGAAATAGCATGGTTGCAACTATTGTCAACACATCAGAACTTCATGAAACAGATTCTATTAACATGAGTTTGTATTTACATACTTCAGTTTTCAGAAATTTTCTTGTTTGGGAAGAATAGACCCATTACTTGGTCATGAATCTGCTTGGTCTTGACACCATCTACCAGGGGATTGACTGTAGGGGGCAGTAGAAGGTACAAACTTGCAAAAATTACATGGATGCTTGGAGGTACCTTCTTGCCAATGCAGTGAGTTAGGAAGCTAAACAGTGCAGGTGTGTATAAAACCAGTATAGTGGAGACATGGGAAGCACAGGTGCCTAGTGCTTTAGAGCGAGCATTCTGGGAAGAGAGCTGAAAGACTGCCTGAAGGATTTTAACACAGGATGTAGCTATGAGCACTAGATCCAATATCATCACTGAAAGGGCAACTGAGATTCCATATACCCTGTTAACGTGAGTGTTGGCACTGGCCAACTTCACCACAGCCATGTGTTCACAATAGGCATGATTGATGCCATCTTTGGTATAATATGGTAGCCTCTGAATTAGGAGAGGAGAGGGCAAAACCATCAGAGTAGTGTGGGTCACACTACCCAGACCCATTATAATGACCAGGGGTTTTGTCAGGATGGCTGTATAACAGTGGGATGCAAATAGCTACATAGCGATCAAAGGCCATGGTAACTAGGAGGGCTGACTCAATTATACAAAACATGTGAATGAAAAACATTTGCGTTAGGCAGTCATTAAAGTCAAACCTGTGAGCTTCCAACCAGAAGATACCCAGCATCTTGGGGGCTATGGAAGAGGCAAGAGCCATGCCATTCATTGCCAGCATGCAAAGGAAGAAATACATAGGCTGGTGGAGGCTTGGCTCCAGTCTGATGGTGACAATGATTACACTGTTCCCCAGCAGGGTCAGGACATACAGTAGGAAGGCAGGGATGCCAATCCAGCAGTGGAACTCTTGCAAACGAGGAATACCAACCAGAAAGAAAGATGAGATGTAGTGATATGTAGAATTGTCTGTCATGTTAAAACTCAGTAAGTTGCATGCTCAGAAACAAAGTCAAAGTCGTCAGCCAAATCCCCAAAGGAAGAAAGCAGTATGACAGTGATTGTCCTCAGGCTCACGACACAGGATTGAACAGCCTACCTGAAGCGCTGACTGTTCTAAACCTCTGTCAATCAGCAGGTATACCACTTTACTCTTCTTTGTTTTAGCATCTTCGCCTACAAACGAGAAGATTAAATTCTCTTATTTCAGATATTTTTTCCCCCTAAGTTTTGGAATTTTATTCAATTCTATTGTGTAGTTTTTATTTCCTAATAGAGGATCAGTTAGTAATATAATAACCACATAATTCTGTCGAAACCAGTATAAATTCTGTGATTTAACCAGTTTTAGAAAAAAAAGGCAAATTGTCTTTTCAAGGAAATTGATATCAAGTGTGGATACATATGCATAAACACACACAATAATTACAGATATTTCAAAAAGCAATCATTATTTTAATCATACTCTTACCCATAGTGAGCATAACAAAACAATCAGAGTAAACTCTAACACATAGAATGAACCTATAAAAATTAAAGCCAATATACCTTTTCATCAATCAAAGACAAATTTCTCCCTATTTTCGATGAACTTCTTTTTTCCCCCATTGACACCCTCCTCCCAATCCCGCCTTCCCACCCCTAGACTGTTGTCTCTGTCCATTGGTTATGCATACATGCATATAAGTTCTTTGGTTTATCTGTTCTGTCCCCACTCTCCCCCATCTCTGACCATATCCTGTAGTTTTGATAACTGATGATTATGGTTTTCCTAGCATTCAGCTTCTTCCTAGTATCACACTCTGTCATATGATCTTCTGTTTTCTTCACATGCTTTTACATTTATAATTGCTCCCAACATCTTAATTTATGGCTCTGAACACCCTGATATAGGAATTCAAGGTATATCGATAAATATTCCTAATGGCAATAATTCCTTGTATAGATGTCTCAATCAAAATAATATGTGTGTGGTGGCAGAAAAACTGTCTAGTTATGGTATCCACACTCTGCTTCAAGCATATGCTCCTCTGGGACAATGTGAGTAGGTATCTGAGGTGTTTTCTTGTAAGGAGTTAAAAAATGTTAAATGAGTCATAATATATTTCTGAAAAAGAGAAAAGAGGTAACTTCTCTTAATGAGAGAAGCTTCCTGTCAGAACCCTAGAATGTGGCACACAGAGGAAATTACAGAGACCTACCCCCAAATCATGGTCTGCTTGTACAGTCACCCCTCCCACCTCAAAAGTCTTCTCTGTCTTCTCCCAGGCTTATTTTGAAAGAAAATTGGAGAAATGCGTTTGTTTCAATAGTTATTCTTTATGTTATCTTTAGCAGATAGTCTGTTGGGCAGTCCAAATAGCTGCCCAGACCTCTCTAATTTTCTATTGGCAATATCATTCCATCTGTTTCTAAACCATACGGTGCCTTTTCCTTCTGACACCCTGAGCTTTGATATTCTCCCTGTTCCTGAGTCAGTCAGCATTTCCCCTTGCCTGGAATCTGCCTCTTCAGAGTAGAGAACACTATGGGAGTACAGCAGTATTTTCCACACAGTGCTTTTGAATGCGTCATGTATTTTATATTAAGGTATCATAATAAAAACACATAAAGATACCCCAAATTAAATTAAGTAAATTCTCCCATTCTGTTTCATCCACCTGTATCTTACTGACACCCAGCTGTTAGGAAATCTCAGAAGTATTCTTGCCTGCTCTATTTCTAATCCTTCAGTCGAGCAGCCGTGAAGTCTTCATTTCTGTTAGAGCTCTCACACTATGCTCTTTGTGTTTTCATTCTCATGTCAATCTCCTTCATCAGACCGAACACCCAAAGGAAGGTACTTAATCTCAGTAAACTCCCAGGAGACTCTGAGGCAAGATCCGAGGTTTCTCTATGTCCTCCACAGTCCCTTAAAAATTACACTGATTTTTAAATTTTGCTACCAAGGCTTCTGACCCACCAGAGATAGTTTATTCATAGTCATTGCCTACCCTTCATTTATTTCAGCTGCCATCTTAGAAAATGTTTCTTCAAAATTGTTTCTGGTTATTAGTTACATAAATATTAGAATTTTATTTAAGTCCTCTTCTCCAAATCTCATTTCTCTCATAAGTGTTATTTATATGTTTACTAATCTTTCTTGTACTTTCAAATGCTTTATCTTGAATTCTATGTCACAACCCATGATATATTATAGATAATGATAAGGAACAAAACAAATTTGTTCTTGAGAAACCTCAAATGATCATTTCTATTGCAGCATCTGGATCAATATGCATATCTGGGAAGGTTAAAATATATGACAGTGGTAGCCATTGGCAGAGAGGACATTGTGCTTAAGTTGGTAGTTATGGTTGCTTTGTAATAGCCATTCCCTTCTGGCCTGTAGTGTTTCTGTTGAGAAGTCAGCTTATAGCCTTATGGGGGTTTCTTTATAGGTTACCTGTTGCTTATCACTTGCTGCCATTAGGATTCTCACTTTGTCTTTAATTTTTGGCATTTTAATTACTATGTGCCTTGGTGTGGGCCTGTTTGGGTTCTTCTTACTTGGGGTTCTCTGTGCTTCTTGAACTTGAATGCCTTCTTCCTTCACCAAATTAGGGAAGTTTTCTGTCACTATTTCTTTAAATATATTCTCTAAGGCTTGCTCATTTTCTTATTCTTCGGAGACTCCTAAGATGCAAATAGTATTGTGTTTGCAGTTGTCCCACAGTTTTCCTAAGCTGTCTTCCTGTTTTTTAATTGTTTTTTTTTTTCCTTTGTTTTTTTGATTGATTAATTTTTTCTACCTTGTCTTCTAATTTACTGATCCAGTCCTGAGCTTCCTCTACTCTGCTGTTTAGTCCTTCCGATGTGTTCTTTATTTGTACTATGTCATTCTTCATTTCTTCTTGGTGGTTTTTCATTTCCAATTGGTTGATTTTCATTGTTTCTATGTCTTTACTCATGGTGTTCATGTCCTTATTCATGCTGTTGAGCTTCCTCAAGATCATGGCTCTGAATTCTAGCTCTGTTAACGTGCTTAACTGCATTTCATTTATATCATTTTCAGTAGAGGTCTCTTGTTCTTTCTTTTGGCATTTGTTTCTTTGCTTCACCATTTTGGCTATCTCAGGGGGTTTTGGAGCCTGCCAAATTTTTCCTGTGGGTGTTGGTTTTCTGCTGTTTGTGACTCCCTCTACTGGGTTTGAATGAGCGTGGAAGAACCCACATTAAACACCACTGTCAAGTCTTACTTTCCTGGTTAGAGTTGCTAGCCCAGGAATGGTACAGTTATCCTCTAGCTTTTTGCCTGGAGGCTATCAGTAGAGCTTACTTGAAGAGCCTTGGCTTCTCAGTTGAATAAAAAATTCCCTCAGGTGCTCAGCATAAGGAGATTACCGAGGGTGGGCAGATGCTGGTTGTTAATGGGCCTCAATTTGCATTTCAATGGCCCACCCAGTGGGGTTAAATCCCCGAGAGAGAGGACACCTTCTCTCCCTAGAGCCCTGAGAAGGAGTAAGATGACCACTGTCCTGCATGGCTGCAACTCAGCAAAAGCTCTGAGTGCCCTCCTAATCAGGAGTGTCCCCACACAGTTTCAGTCCAGTCTACCCTCCATCTGCTGGAGCCCAAGGTGAGTGGCTGTGGCTATTTTAGCAATGTGTCCTGGCTCTCTGTGCTGTGGAGCAGGCTTGGGATTTTAACCCCAAGGGTCCTGCTCATAGCCAGGACAGCTCCTGTCTGTGGGCTCCCAGCTCCCCTCTCACGCCTCTGCAATCCTACCGGGATCTAGTCAGTGTCCCTGGTTATGTGGTCCTCGCAAGCTGCTTTTCTGTTGCTTTTTCTCCATGATTTATCTTTATTTTAGCTATAATTCCAGTTTGGTCCTTGGAGGTGTTCTGTGTAGCTTCCATTCACTCTGCCGCCATTTTGGAATCCCTCACATTCTATTTTGAATGATAGCCTTACTGGATAGAGTAGTCTTGGGTTCGGATCCTATTTTTCATTACCTTGATTACTTCATGCCATTCCCTTCTGGTCTGTAGTGTTCCTGTTAAGAAGTCACCAGATAGCCTTACAAGGGGTTCCTTTGTAGGTAACCTATTGTTTATCTCTTGCTGCCTTTAGGAGTCTCTCTTTGTCTTTAATTTTTGGCTTTTTAATTATTATGAGTCTTGGTGTCGGCCTCTTTGTATCTTCTTGGTTGGGACTAAAATAAAAATCTGATTTGCTACCATTTGTTTGATTCTATATTTCATACACATTTTTATGGTGTGTGTAATAGTTTAACAATTCTAAAAATAATTGTTTTTATAAAAGACAGAAATATTATTACAGATTTGAATACTGTCATTGCACTTTATTTCATGCAAAAGGAGAAATGATGTGCACACAAACCAGTTTTGTTTGATTAAAAATGTGTAACACTCTTTATTTTACCTCATTTTCTCCTTCAGAAACCAAATGTTGTTAAAGAAATAATTCTAGTTGAGAGTTTTCTTATGCATTTTACATTTAATTTCAAAGCTTTTTACTTGATCTATTCCTGCCTTCTACAATGAAGATGAAAAAGCTTTTCTATAAAATTTAATCACACTTATAGATGGAAAGCTTTTATTCAGGTTCTCTGCGTGTTTTTGTTGTGTTGTGTGTGTGTGTCTAACAGGTTTGTGATTAGCTCACATAGTTGTGGAAGGTAATGGTAGGGTAGGGTGAGAATTTTGTGATCAAGAAGTCCACAGTCTTCATTTTACAGGTATAGACACAAGGCTCCAAAAGATCATAGCCATAAATAATATGAAGTATACTTATCCAAGATTTTATTAGAATTTAATCTGGAAACACAGATTAGATTAGTACCTCTCAACCATCAGGAGGCTAGAAATATAAGTGCAAATTTATTATATAATTATAAAGTTATATAAGTTCATCTGGACTATCCTTAGAGAGAAAGAATCATGATAGCTTTAGAGTTCTCAAATTTATGTTGTG